TTCTGCTTCCTACCTCTAGCTGCCATCTTGGAATCCCTCTAAATAAAACTCTTAAAGCATATTTTTTAATGTTATGAATGTTGATGTATCAGTCTATACTGACTAGAATTATAGTTGTAGTATCATCTCCGTTATTCTTATGTTTTTATTTAAATTTTTATAAAATATGTGTGGGCTCAAAAAGAATATGTGGTTATTCCTAAATGTTATGAAGCTGACTCATTCTCAGTATTCATAAGAACTATCAGTCTGTTTAAATGTGCTAATTTTTTTATACATGAAATTAACAGTTTTAACAGTCATTGTTAATTATTACAGGACTTCACTCTGGCTATATTAAGTCTATTCAAACAGAATAAGAAAATGTTAATGTTTAAAACACATAAGGAGTGTGTTGCTTCAAGTTATAGCTAGAATAATTATCTGCTTGTCTGATTTGTATTACTGGTACTGTTGTATCGAGTAGATGTGATGGTCATCTATATAATTACTGTATTATTTTTCATAATACATTTCTCGATGCCAAATGAGTCACAGAAATGTACATTAATTGTTCAAAGACTGAAATAGAGCCTAAAGCCACGTAGTAGACTTGGGCTGGGAACTGAGATTGGTTTTTAGTATAATGTGTATAACTTCATTTATAATTTAGTAGGTATAAAAGGAATCTTTATAATTACTTTTATTTGAATTTCTTTGCTTAGCAAGGATAAGTATTTCTTCTTGTCCATTTCAAGTACACATCTATTAACTCTTTTTTGAAGACTTTTTGTTATGGAATTACAAACATATGCAAAATTAATTTGAATGGTATAGTGAATCTCTATGTAACATCACCCAACTTCAATAATGAGCAACTCTGGCCATTGTTTTCTCTATAATCCCACTCACAAACTTCCCCACACCAGATTGTTTTGAAGCAAATCCTGACCATCATAATATATTATCCATAAATATTATAGCATGTAACTCTAAAATGTTAGAAACAAAAAGACCTATAAGCCCATTACCATGTCTAAAAATGTTTATTGCTCAAAAAAATTTTTTTTTTGTGGTACTGGGGTTTGAACTCAGGGCCTACACCTTGAGCCACTCCACCAGCCCTTTTCTGTGATGGGTGTTTTCGAGATAGGGTCTCACTAAACTATTTGTCAGGGTTGGCTTCAAACCGTGATCCTCCTGATCTCTGCCTCCTGAGTAGCTAGGATTATAGACGTGAGCCACCAGTGCCTGGTTTGCTCAAAAGTTTTACATATCTAACTAGTGTTAAAATTCCCTGATTGTCTTAGATATTTTTTCTTAATGTTTATTCAACTCAGTATCTAGAAAGATCCATGTATAACCACTACTTTCTTTTTTAGATTCCCCCTCTACTCTCTTGTGCTTTTATTAATTTTTGAAGAAGTTGCATTATTTGTCCTTTATAGTTTTTTATAGTCTGAATTATGATGATTGTATCCTGGTGATGTCATTCAACATGTCTTTCTGCCTTTTATTTCCAGTAAATTGGTAGTTATATCTAGAGAATTGATCAGATTCAGATTCCATTTACTTAGGCAAGAACACTTATTGATGGAATTTGTGTTTTCTAGTTTTTTTCTTTTTCAAATGGTGTTGCAATGAATAGTTTTATACGTGTATCATTTCATGCTTTTGCAATATGGTTTTCACATATACTTTTGTAAATGAGGTTGCTAGGTCACAGGGTAAATCCATGTGAAGTCTTGTTATACATATCCAAATTCCCTTCTGTGGGAGTTGTATCATTTTGCATTTCCACTAGAAATATAATGATTCACCATAGTCTCATGGAATGTTTTGTTAAATATTTGAGTTTTTGCCAACATAAGAGATGAAAAATTGTATTTTAGCATAGTTTTCCTTTTTGTATTTATGTAGACAGTTGTCTGTTGAAGCATAACTCACATCCAGTAAAATGCACAAATCTTAAGTGTAGATCCCAGTGAATTTGACAAATGTATTCACACAAGTAACCAATACTTAAAGTGCCCACTACTTACTGATCTTTATTTTATTAAAGATGGATCTTTTATCCCAAGGGATTTTTGTAGTGGTTCAAGATGCTTATGTAGGGTTTATCTAGAATGATCGTAGTAAACCACACACAGGAAAACTTGAGTTTCTGCTTCTTTTATAAATTCATTTTTTTCACCTTTTTTTCCAAAGGATTTTTAAATCATAAGCATTCTGCATAAGTCATCTTCTATCTTAAATATTGATTTTATATGGCTTATTGCCCAGTAAAATGAATTGCAATCACTTAGAAATCTGTTGATAAAGATACAACTTTAAATCTTTTTGTTGTTTTTACGAGTTTATTTTTCTTCATTTTTGGCCTGAGGATAGAAGTAGGATCAATGAGTGAATTTATAAAAAAAAAAAAAAAGAATCAGGATGTTGTACAAAATACTGGAAGAGTCTAGTGAAAAATAGTAACTTTATTTTGCCTTTATAGTCTACTTAATTGGCCTTTTCCTGGGTCCAAAGGCAACAGCATTGATTTTTCCTAAGCTGTAAAAATGTGTCTACATCTTCCACCAGTGCATTTTAATTTATGTGTGTGTGTGTGTGTGTGTGTGTGTGTGTAGAACATGAACCAAATATGTCAAAGAAATCTAATTTTAAAAGTCGTGTCTATTGCAACAAACTTTAGAGATAGATGGCAAATTAGCTGGAATAAGTTTTAGGATATATATATATATATATATATATATATATATATGTATATATATATATATACATATATATATATATATGGATATGGATATATATATCCTTCTAAGTGCTGGGATTACAGATGTGTGCCATCACACCCAGTTTAAATTTTAGGTGTTCTTAAAGCAAGTGCTGGAGTATCAGAGTTTATAAATACTATATACTTCTATTTTTTAGTATGTAAAATAGAGACTGCCAGATGTTTGTCTGCATTACTGTCTACCTTTTTTTTGTTTTAAATTTCATTGTCATAGCACTCCACTTTTCTTGTGGGAAAGATTTTGACTTTGACTTTGTATTTTTTGAGTAGTCTTTGAGTTAATTTGTTTTCTTATATCCTAATTTTGAATCAGAAACCAGAACAGCAGAAGGATAAACTCAAGGTTAAAGTAATCAGTGAATAGCAGCTAGAAATAGCATGCATTATGAAGATTCCTTTTTGGAAGTTGTCTTCTGAAGTTTTAATATCCTCATTATTGATCTTTTAAAGCTATCAGAGTACTCAATATTCTAGTAGCAGAAAAATTATGAACTATGCATATTTCATCAAGTTTCTGATTTTTATTTTTGCACATATTTAAAAGTAACAACATGTAATGTAGGAGCTCAGAGTACACATGAGTATGCGTCAGAGGGTAACTAGAAACAGACACTACTTGAGGATTTAGAGTAGAGGGGTGTTTAATGATGGAAAATGGTTATGCAGGTGATAGAGCTGAGAAGTAGAGGACTGTGGGACCATATAGAGATTAAGACCCACTGGGCATCAAAGAGGCCAAGGAGACATAGAGAAGCCAGACTGTCCCACACGCAATGGGTTATCTCTGAGGTTACCAGAGAAAACATGGACCCATGATGGTAATGTCCAGGGAACAGTTGGAACAATGGAGAAGGTGCAGATGCTTCTGAGACCCCTCTGAGAGTAGAGCTGTGGGGATAGGGCAGTGTTTTGCCTTTCCTTTCCTTTCAGCCTTCAATCTCTCATAGCCAGTATTTTCCTTGACTGAGCCCAGTTGGAAGCTAGCCAGAGGGGTGCCTGAGACATATAGGCTGCTGTGTGTTTTGGAGCAGATCAGGGAGATGGCAGGAATGGATTTAGGACAACAGATCCAGGTCTGACATAACTTGGCAGCAGAAACCTCAAAATACTAATTTTGTGCTGCATTTTTAAAAGTCATAGAACTTGTTATACATAAATGTAGTTGAACATTTAGGTGTCCTGCTATGTGATTTTTCACTCTTTCTTTATTAAGTGCCTTCAAATAAATACTTGCCTAAATTTGAAAAATGTATTTATAAAGTCATAGAGTTGAAAGATAAAAATTGCATGTTTCAGGTCATATTTCTAGTAAGTGCTGAAGCTGGAACTAAAGCTGCATTTCCTAACAACTTAGCTAATGTGTCTTTCCCATCTTATGATAAGGGGTCAGATAGAAACCACCCACACTTCAAGGCTATGTGACCCTGATGTTTACAAGCAATATGACCTTGACTAAGTCTTTGAACTTCTCTTACCTGTGGTGTCCTCATCTGTAAAACAGCAATAATGATACCCACAATACCTGCCAGGGATGATGTGTCCAAATGGGGACAAATGTATAGAAAACTTTCCTTTTGGGGCAGTACTGGGGCTTGAATTCAGGGTCTTAAGCTTGCTAGGCAGGTGCTCTACCACTTGAGCTATGCCCCAGCCCATTTTGATTCAGTTATTTTTCAAATAGGGTCTCACATTTGTGCCTGGCAGGCCTTGACTGTAATCCTACTGTTTTTGCTTTCTGCTTAGCTGAGATGACAGGCATGGTACCACCATACCCAACTTTTATTGGTCAAGGTGGAGGTCTTGCCAACTATTTGCCCAGGCCGGTCTCCAAACATGATCCTCCCAATCTCTGCCTCCCAAGTAGTTAGGATTATAGGCGTGAGCCATCATGCCATGCTGTGTATAGAAAATGTTTTAAAAACTTTCCTAGGTTGTATAAATTAGGGCTCTATTTATTGTATGTATGAAAAATAGAATGTCTTTGACTTCCTTTTTACACCTTCAAAACAGTTTTTATATTGGTCAGTCTTCCAAACCACTTTCTCTTTCCTCTCCCTGCTTTGTAATATAGTACTTATTTTAGGTGGATTGTGTGTTAGAAGATTCACTAATAAGGAGGGAAAAACAGTAGTATAACTTTGAACATACAGATTGACATCTCCTTTGTGGAAAATATATTTTAAAAACTTTTAAGTTGCTATTGTTTTTGTTCTTCTAAATGTAGATCAGAAAAGCAGTGAAGATTTCAAAGATATCTAAAGAACACATGCTAATAAAACAGCATAAGCAAGTGTGGTGGCAGGAACACCAAAGGCTAAATGAAGCCAGGTAAGAACTGGGGAGAATTCAGTGAGAATGTGCAGGAATTACTAGGAGCTGTGGGTATCCAGTCAGGTGTCCTATAATGGTCCATGTTAATTAAAGTTATAGTTTGAAGTCAAGTCACATTAAAATCTTTATTTTCTCAGCTTAATCTGAAACCCAGGGAATATGTTAATATGGCTTTTGCCTGCTATAGGGAAAAAAAGAGATAATTGTTTCTATCTGCCAATCACTTCCTCTTCTGCACTCCCCTCCCCCCTCGTGCTTGCATTTGCATGTATTCTACTTAGCACATTGCACTAGGAAGTTTTGCTGACATATTTGTGTAGTCTACAGAGAGTGGTCACCTCCTCCAGGGTCAGCTTCATACCATATTCCTCTCTGCATCATGGGTATATAAAAGGAGATATGTAAATACTTTTAGTTCACTGATAAAACAATGAACTAAGGAGTTCAAATTGTTCTGTGGTTTTCTTCCTTCCTTCGTTTCTTCCTTCCTTTTTTTTTTGTGGTATTGAGGCTTGAATTCAGGGCCTCATGCTTGCTAGACAGGTGCATGCTTGCCAGCCCTCAGGGGTTTCAGCCATGCTGCCAGCCCTCAGGGGTTTTCTTTATGTAGTTGCATGATGACGTATTAAATTCTGATTTTTGACTTTTTATTTGCAGCAGTCACTTAAAAATAAAGCAAAACAAAATAATATTTTTATATAATCTTTTTTAGGGGTAGTACTGGAGTTTGAACTCAGGGCCTCACACTTGCTAGGCAGGTACTCTTACCAGTTGAGCCACTCCACCAGCCCTTTGTGAGTGTGTGTGTGTGTGTGTGTGTGTATGTATGTATGTATGTATGTATGTATGTATGTATGTATGTTGCTTATTTTGAGATAGGGTCTCATGAACATTTGCCAGAGGCTGGCTTCCAAATTCGATCCTCCTGACCTCTGCCTCCTGAGTAGCTAAGATTACAGGCGTGAGCCACTGGTGCCCAGCTTTTATATTTGATTTTAAGTGTAATTTTTAAAAACAAATTTCAAAAGTCTATACAAAGAGATAGGGCAAATGTGTTTCTTCCCCTTTTAAAGCATACATACTTGTTTTAACAATGACATATTTATGAAATATACCCTTAAAATGTGTATTATTAAGCATTTTATATCAAAATAGACAACTTCTATGATCTCATTCTAAGGCAAGTTTCCAAATACCATTAACTTTCCTTTTGACCCAAATGCTTTTCATGTTAACAGGAGTTTCTTACCCTGGCAAGTGATTCTTATATGTGAGGTAAAAGATTGGTAAGGCTTTTATATTATGGCATAACTCAAAACAAAATTATATAGATTTAATCACCATACTTCTACTATGAAAACAACTGTATCAGATATACCAAATCCTTCAAAAAGTCACTTTTTGTGAAGAAAGTTTTTTGAAAATTTGTATAACTTGCAATATGATAAAAGGGAACTACTAGGAAACTTTAATTATGGTGTCCAGAGGTGAAAGTTCAATGTAAAAAAAGGCATTGGGAAAAGTTTTCTTTTTTTTTAATCTTGGCTGTTCCACATCCTCCCTAATACATATATTAAGTTGTTCTTGAGCTAAATAGACAAAATATATACATATCATTATGGAAAATAATTCTGTTGACTGACTTAAGCTCCATTTGAGAATCTCAAGCCTGAAGAAGAAGAGGCCTGCAATGATGTCTAGCTTCTTTTGGGTAATTGAGTATGTGCCAGGTCATATGTTAAGTACTTGATGTGCTTTATCTCACTTAATCCTTACGGTAACCCTACAGTGTAGGTATTATTGTTATTCCAGTGTTACAGATGAGATTCTTGAGTCTTAGAAGATTGAAGTTATTTGAAGAAGATAAATATGCTAGTTTGGTGGATTGGGATTGAAATTGTTGCACTTATTTCTTATGCTCCATGAACTTAAGAGTTAAGCAGCTTTTTCTTTTTTAATTATTTGAAATCTGTGTTAAAACTAGACAAAAAATTCCAAATATAAATTCTGTTTAATATTTAAATTTATAAAATTTTATTTTAAGCTTAATAAGCTTACTCCAACTATACCCCTGGAGGACTCTGATATACTTTCCCAGGGGGCACTTCTTGTTTCTAGGACCACAAAGAACCCTGAGTTTTGTATGGTCACTTGTCTAGATGATATATTAATCAATTCAGTGCAACAACCTGCAGATAATTCATCCTAGTAGAGGGTGTTTTTGAGCCCTTGGGTGTCTACTTTAAGTAAAGTACAGGTCCTTATCCTTCTGGGATGGTGCCAGTTGTTCTATGTGGATAATCAGTCTCCTCAGAACACCAAACATTACCCAAAGCCTCCTTCTTCTGGCTGTTTGTATGCTGTTATGGCTTTCTGGGTGTTGAAAATATAGGGGAGCTGGTTGGATGGTTTTCAAGTGCTACATTTTTGGTTAAACAACTTTGAAATAAATTCTGTTTTGAGTACATAATAATGCATCTGTCTTCCATGAAACAGTTGCAAATGTGATGTTAAAAATATTTCTAACAAAATCTACCTGGTGGGAGAATTGTGAAGTATTTATAATTCTCCTTTATACATATAAGCAAAAGCAAAAATACTGTCTCATATAGTGAATTGGCCTTAGAAGATGATGGCATGTATATATTATATTATATACATATAACATATATATATAATGTACACACACATATAATGCAGTCATTAAAATGATAATTACAAAGACTATTTAGAACTATCTAAAAAATAGTCTTAAGCAAACCCCCTACAATACAAAATGTTAAATATGCCATTATTACAATTACATAAAATGAAGGTAGTCAGGGGTTAGAAACTTATTTGCAAAACATGGAAATAATCATTGTATCAAAGTATTATAATTGTTGCTCTCCTTATTTTATACCATTTTAATATTTTACTTGGATAATAATGATAAATCAAAACTCTAATTTAATGACTACCATAAGCAAAGGATAGAATACAGTATTTTTGGATGTCCATTTAGAGTTGGTTATGATTTTACTCTAAAAATGACTATATTTTAAAACTATAGTAAAATATTATAAAGATCTATTACCCTTGTTAGTGTTATAAAAATAAAACATGCTTTTATTCCCATTTCCCTGATTCAAAAAAATCTCATAATTTCTGAACTTTTAGAATAGCTTCCTTGTTGGTCTAGGTTTGCCTAATCTCTTCCTCTTCATCTTTCATTTGTGTGGCTTACCCCATCTTCAGATCCATCCTTTTGCCTGCCACCTTAGGAATCTTTTTGAAACACAATCCTGAACAGGTAAGGTTGGACTGTCAAACTTCAGTGGCTTCCCAGTGTCCTGATGTGCATGGCCTTTGGCCATGCTATTCCTTTTGCTGATGTTAGGAATTTAGTTCACCATCTGAATAAATGAATAGATGAGCAAAACCACATTAGATTGAATATTCCTACTCCACTTATTTTTTTAAACCTATATGTATGTACATTTGCGATTATAAAAATTGATTGAGATCATGTCTATTTCAGATGTAAATTGGAATCTGAAATAAAATCTTTTCTCAATGAAGAAAACATTGGAAATGACTGTCTTTGTGACCTTAGGAATTTTGGTGAGCTTTTTATTTTGGTACTGTATTTAAAGGGGAATTTTGTTTGGAAGAATAAAAATGGGCATCTACTTCATGCTTTTTTTTTTTTCTTTTATTATTCATATGTGCATACAAGGCTTGGTTTATTTCTCCCCCCTGCCCCCGCCCCCTCCCTTACCACCCACTCCACCCCCTCCCGCTCCCCCCCTCAATACCCAGCAGAAACTATTTTGCCCTTATCTCTAATTTTGTTGTAGAGAGAGTATAAGCAATAATAGGAAGGAACAAGGGGTTTTGCTGGTTGAGATAAAGATAGCTATACAGGGCATTGACTCACATTGATTTCCTGTGCATGCTTTTTTAATATTAATGGCTGTTTAGTTTTTTTTCTAAAGGAATTTAAAAGTACACATTTTAATGATCTGTTCTTTAAGAAATAAAATTATGTGTTTTCTTGATTGAATTTTGTTTTTGCCATAGAACAAGAGTTATCAGAACAATGGTGCACCTATCTTAAAAATGTGATACTTCCTACTGAGCAGCTGAGAACAGATCTGAAGTACAGACAGTTTCCCATTCTCCAGCATGCACAGACTCATGTGGAGTTTAACTCTGTGACAGTACTGGAGAAGGTCTGTATGGTACCTTTACTTTTAACAATGTAAGATTTCGTTTTTGTCCAGATAGAACAGTTTGAGACAAGAAACAAGCATGTGTGTCTTATGTATTAAATAGATTATTCAATATATTAAACATAAACCTGAATCTGTCCAAGCACCCTCATTTTAACTTGTCTCTCTACTTTCATTCTTTCTCTTTCTCTCCCAGTGCATTCTGGGATTCTACCCCCAGTACAGGGGGATCAAGTTATCCTGTTCTGAAATCCCCCAGAGCCTCCTGCTGGCCCTTAAGTCCTCTACCCATTCAACTCTCTTCCTGCTTTTGCAGTCACATCTCCTGCCTAACACTGTCCCTTTCTGCACATACCAGGCGCATTCCTGTCTCAAGGTCTTTACACTGGCTGTTTTCTCTGTCTGGCTGATGCCACTTTCTGTAATCTAGTTCTTGGCTTGAATGTCCTTTCTTTTGAGAGGCAGGTCTTGATAAGCCACAGTTGTTCCCTCTCACATCATCCTGGCTTTACTGATTCACTTGCCTCTTCTGATGCTCTTTTATGTATTTTTTTTCTTTTTTTGCAGCACTAGGACTTGAACTCAGGGCCTTCACATTGAGCAACTCCACCAGCCCAGTTTTTTATGATAGGGTTTTTCGAGATAGGGTCCTGTGAACTATTTGCTTGGGCTGTCTTCAAACTGTGATCGTCCTGATCTCTGCCTCCTGAGTAGCTAGGATTACAGGCATTAGCCACTAGCGCCTGGCTCTTATGTATTTTTGTTTACTATTTTGTTGACTACCTCCTGTCAATAGAGTAGAAGCTTGAGTATAGTTGTGCTAGAGTAGTGTTTTAATTATTTTTTTATTTCTCTACTTTTCAGCTATTCTGTTATGTTATATTGCTTTCATAAATAATAAAAAATTTAGGTTTATGCCTAGCTGGGGACTAGTGGCAAGGATGTAAGGGAAGAAAGGGGTGATTGAAGCTGGCAATCTGGTAAGTTCTCTGCCTTAACAAGGTTGTAAGATGCAGGGTGCCTATGACCATACTGTGAGTTCTTATCATTGGTTGTTTGTCTAGAAGTTTCATGGAAGCTCATTTATCTGATGAGCGCTGCCTGCCTGACATCTTTTTCTTTCCCAGGTCTTCAGAGTAATTTTCCCTTATGTAATTTTTCATCACTTATTGGCTTTTAAGAATAATTCTTGTGTCTTTAGTTATAAATATTGAATGAGTCACAATAATTTTTGCAAATATCATGTCCTCTAGATTGGCTTTGTGAAGAAACAGTTGAATGCTGTCTTTGAAAGACTTAACCTGGAGCAACAAAAGGTAGAAAATGAACTTTTGGACAGCAGAATGGGAGTAAGTATGAAGCAGTTAGTTATCTATTTGCTTATCATTTTTGCATTTATGTTAAATAAAATAATTATATATATATTTTCAGACACAGGATTATTCTTTAGAAGAAAAAACTAACCTACTCAGTGAACAGCCTGTGGAATTAGAAATGTTGGAGTGCCCATACCCTGATTTGAAATCTTCAGTCCTTAAAGAGTTTTCTAACTTCACAGAGAAATATCAGAAGAAACTTCAAGATTTTGATTTGCAGTTAGAAGATATTCACAGGTGATATGATAAAACTACTTGAATTCTATAGATTTTTTTACATTAAAATTTAATTTCTCTCTTTTGGCAGTACTGGTAAAATTTAATTTTTGTTCGAAGTCATCATATTTCTTATTTGGTATTTCATAGTTGCTATGTGATTGGAATACAATCAGTAAATGCTTAGGTTGACCATTTGTTGAATTGAAAGATTTTTTCCCCCAAATAATTTCCTTGTATAATGGCTTGTAAGATTTTTATAAGGTTAAAACGTGATGACAATACCTCTCTTATTGGGCTTCTTTATTGCAAAGGTAAGAATAGTCTTCAAATATGAATTTTTAGTAACTCAAATTTCAATTTCAATATATAAATCTCTTCTACCATGGAATTCTATAAATCAGCACTAATAATTGATTATAATGAAAAATATATGCATGCATTTATGTTACTTATTACCCACTGTGATTTTGTCCTGTGATGAATCATGCAAGGTATGTTTTTCAATAAATATAAGATAAAAAAATCCTGAATATGTTAAATTTTTATATTTAAAAAAATAGACTTATCTTTCTGTATAGCTATCCTTAACTCAACTAGCAAAAACGCTTTGTCTTTCTTATTATGCTTATGTCTTTTCTTCAACAAAATCAGTCACAAGGGCAGAACGGGACTTGCCTGAAACTGAGGAGGGGGGGTTAGTGGGGGAGGGGGCAGGGTGGAGAAATGACCCAAACAATGTATGCACATGTGAATAAATGAACAACAACAACAAAAAATAGACTTTGGGTTGTATCCTGAGTGTGACAATCATCTTTTGAGTGGCAAGTATAATTTTCAGTGGTTTAAAATTCAATTTTGGTAGTTGTCGTCTTGTCTGGTGTTTTCTGTTACAAGTCACATAAAGAACAAAAGCAGATAATGCCACCCTGACTCAGATCAATGGTGTGCCTTGGAGTGTGTGCGTATGAAGTTTCTCAGGGATCTTTTGTAGCAAAACTGCTTCTGGCTCTATGATATTGACCTCAAAATTTTTCCCGAAGAACTAACATTGAAAAAAAAAAAGAAAACTACTGAGGGGGCACATTTATAGCAAATTGAAAAATAAGAGGTTTTTGACTTTTCAATGGAAGATGAAAAATGTAACAAATATTTATATTTCTTATTAGTTGCTCTGAATGCAGCTCCTCCACAAGAAACTACTGGTGTTAAGAAGTAAGTAAGGAGGAAAACCATAGGTCCTACCCCATAGGACTTTGTGCTTTGGTAGCTCTTTCATCCAAACTGTTTGGACACAGCTGTTACTTTTCTCAGAACACTTGTAAAGGACTTAGCCAGTCCTAGGTGAAGTCAGGGCCCTTCCTGACCTTGACTTCCTTCTTTCACCTTTCTGAGGATGTTCCTGTGTTCCTCACCTTGTGGTCTCCAGAGAGCCCCTCTGGAGACCTCCTCTGTCCCTTGCTTTCCTCCTTCCTACCTTGAAATAAAGCTGAGAAAGAAATGAGCAATATATCATGTACACTTATTGATTAATTACTTACCCTTTAATTGGAATTCAGTCACAGTGAAGCTCAATCATGCACTTAGTTACATCTTTAATTGTAAAATGAATTTCTTCCACTCCCCACCACAACTTTATTATAGAGATTTCAGAGGGTTTTGTTTGATAGGGCAAGAGGCATGATAATCAGGCTGATTAGCTGTGGCTGTGATGGAGGTAAAGCATACTTACCTTTTCCTCCCAGATGACACTTCTGCCCTATGAAAGCTGGCTGAATTTGTGGTGTCTTGTGGTTAGCAGCTCCTACCTATGGAGGAGTTTGCCTTAGCAGTCTGCAGTGGCACCTTCCGGTAAGACTCATCTTCATTGGCCCACTTTACTTACTTCCTTTTTAAAAATCTGAACTCAATTTCCACTCTTCTTTTATGCAACCCTGTGCCTCTCAGGAAAAGGTTGGGGAACACAACACTGAAGTTATTGAAGATTAAGCAAAGAATTTGATGAATATACATTACATGCCAACATTTCTACAGACAGAAGAAACTTTGAGGACAAAATAGTTTAGGGAATTTTGATGGAGGAAATAAAGTTTATCATGGATTTTGAGGAATGGGTATAGTTAGGCAGAATAAGGAGGACAGCCTATAAAAAGGAGATTGAATGACTAGACTAAAAGTCTCTTGAGGACAAAATAATTGATTAGCTATATTTGTGTTCATAAACCAAGTACATTCTACATGTACCATCTTCTAAGTGATTGAGTTGAACTCAATGTGAAAACCAGGAAGGAAAGAGTGGTGAGGCATGTTATGTGGGCAGTAGGAAAACACTTTAGAGGAATACAAGCCTCATAAATATTAATTTGATAGCCTATTTACCACATATAATTATCCAGAAAGCATTTTATATAATTGTTGATGTGTTTTGCTTGATGAATATTTATTGAATAGTCCTTAATATACAGCAATCTCTGCTAAACTCCTTGGTAGGAGGTTCAGCAAACAGATTAGTGTAGAATATGGCCTGGCTTCTGAGAAGGCTTGCAGTACTTGGAGGAAGAAACATACACATGTTCCCTGGCCAAACAAAAATTATATGCAAACATTAATTGAAGAAAACTGGTAGTAACACTGAATGAGTTCTCAGGAATTGTTTTCTGGAGGAGAAAAAGAGTAAAACATTGTTCTGAATAAATGCAGATATGGTTCTTGCCAGTGTTCTGTGACTGGTGAGCAGTGAGGTACATGAATATGCAGTTCTGGACAGCACCATGAATTACTTGTTCAATTATACTTACTGCACTTCTAATTTGCCAGGATCTACTTTTACTTTGATATGACCATTTCCCCCTTTGGTTCCAGTTGTTCAGACTTGTGAGAATTTTTATAGAATGTGTGTATGTGTGTGCACAGCTGTTGGAGTAAATGCATGCATGCTTTCCAAGGGCTATTAGTCCACATTATAGTCTTAGGTCAGCGTATCTTGGGTTTTTAGTTGTTTGCTGTTTAGAGTTTGTGAGTTATTTACAACTAAAAACATCCCTAACTTGCCACAATTGCTACTTGAAGTTCATAGTTTACAGTAGGATCACAATTCTCCCACCCCTAGGCACTTGCTTTTTAACTTTATTTACAATTTACCTCTATGCAGTAGTTTGGTAGAACTTAAAAATTCATAGAGCACACACCCTTTGTCCCAACAGTTTCCATATCTCAAAAATACATCATACAAATATACTTGAATATGTTTACACTGGTTTATTTTTAGAGTTACTTGTTGCAGAAGTGAAAGACTGAGCAAAAACCTTAATAAGGAAGTTTGATAGGCTATTATGCATCTATACAATGTATTAGTCTACCAATGTAAAGCAGTCCAATACTTAAATTTACTAACCTAGAAAAATATCCAAGGGTTAGGGTGAAGTATGGACATGACCAAGGAAAGCAATGTATACAACATATTGTGCAAAAAAGAGAAAAGTAAATATAAACTCACTCACATATATTTGCTTTTGTATATTTGAAGCAATACACAAAAACTTGATAATATTCATTGCCTCTGGGGAGGGGAGCAGATACCTGGGAGATGAGGGAGAATTTTTATCTTGTTTCCCTTTCATTGTACTTTTTTGAATTTTGAACCATATGAATATATTTTCTGTTATGAAACAAATAACTTTTAAAGGAAAAATGACAAGGATACAAATTAAACAACAAATAGGAAAACATTGGCAACGTAACAGACACAAAATATTAAAATTCCCAGATACAAAGACACTGAAAATTAATTGAATAATTAGCAGTCAAAAGGAGATGAAGAGGGAATTTATATTTTCAAGAAATACATAATAACCATCTATTGGTTTAAAATGGATAAAAAAAATCTCTGCATTCACGAAGCAAGTTGGAGACACACCAAAGTGCAAACATAATAAGTAAATATGCACAGTTGTATGTTAGAAGGTGATAAATGCTATGAAAAAATATAGATTAGAGTAAGAGAGATAGGAGGTGCTGGGGTTGTGGAAGGCAGATTGTAAATTTGCAATAAAATTTGTAGATAAGCCTAGTTGAGAAAGGGATGTTGAAGTGAAGTTATGAAATTGGTGGAGAGAGCTGGTCATGCATTTGGTCTAAAAGATATTTGGTGGCCATTTTCTTTGAAGAAGTGAAAGCAAATGCCTGACTGGAGTAGACATGAGTGAATGGAAGTTGAGGAAGGGAAGACAAAGGCGAGTAGGGAAGCAGGGACAGACTTTTATGTTGTCTTGTTTAAATTGGGAGAAATAGTGATGTTGATGAGAATAATCTGGTAAAGGATCAACTTTGTGATACAGGAAGAGAGAGGAATTGCTGTGTGATGCTCTGGGGTTGCAAGAAGTGTGATTTAGTGCAGAAGTTGAGGAATGAGCACACATGACTGATGGAACACAATAGCAGGTAGGGATACAGATTTTGTGATGTGGATGCTTGGAGGTGAAAGATGTGCTGGCAGTCTGGAACTCTGTGTGGTCATTCTAAATACAAGTGACTAAGAAAATTTATTGACCTCTACTCACCAAAGCAATAGAAATAAAAAATTAAGATTTTTACCTATAAGAATGGTAAAACAAAAGAATTTTACCCTGGGTTACAACAGTATGAGGAAATAGGCATTTTTATATGTAGTTGGCATATAAATTTTTAGAAGGCAATTTGACACTATGTCATCAAAAATCTTTATAATTGGGAATATTTCTCTTTAGAAATGATTTTTTTGTATGTTCTCCCTCATATGCGGACATTAGATCAAGGGCAAACACAACAAGGGGATTGGACTTTGATCACATGATAAAGTGAGAGCACACAAGGGAGGTATGAGGATAGGTAAGACACCTAAAAAACTAGCTAGCATTTGTTGCCCTCAATGCAGAGAAACTAAAGCAGATACTTTAAAGTGACTAAGGCCAATAGGAGAAGGGGACCAGGAACTAGAGAAAAGGTTAGTTCAAGAAGAATTAACTTAGAAGGTAACACACATATACA